AAAAATTCCCGAGGGGGAGAATCCAAAACTAACGAGGTACTTACCTCTTTGACTAGGGAATAGAGCATAGCGACGATCTGGACTGTCTTGCCCAGCCCCATTTCATCAGCAAGAATTGTATTAACGTGATTGTAGAAAGACTTCCGCAACCACCGGATGCCTTCCAATTGATAACCATGCAGCTGCCCACCTTCCAAGTTCGAGAGGTAATTCGGCTGTTTTTCAATCCAATTTACCTGTTAAAGATGCAGATGTTTTTCCCTTAAGCTCATGAAATCAAAGCATACAAATTCGCCAAATGGTTCAATGATTGGCTTTACATAAACAATTACACCAAAAGATAGACAGCTGAGAGGTCATGCAATGCGTGCGTAACTCAAATAAGCTCGCATTCGCTTTAATACTGTTCCAGCAAATATGTAAGGCCAATACACTGGCATAAGTTTATTCTTTATCAAAATGTGGCTTCAGCTTTCAGAAAGATAGCTTGTTCGGTGTGGCAAGTTACATAAGAAAAAGAAGCTAACCTCCCAATTAGAAGGCGATGAGGGGGGAGCTGGCTTGGAGGAACTTTGATATAATTTAATGATTTGGTCTCTAGAGGCTTCGCCTAGGTGGAGCGTGTAGAGACTGGCGATCTGAGAGAGATGGGCGTCAACTAGCTGAAGAATCCATCGCCGCACAAATGAGGGAAGAAGGCGTCGTCCACAGGGATCAAGCGGCTGAAGGCCAGCACGACGGTAGCGTGGCAACATGGATTCCAGGTGCACCAGATTTATCTCTACCGTCTCCCACGTGGCATGAGCCTCATCCAAATCGCACCATTTCACAAGAATCTCGCGAAGGCGGGTCATCGAGGCGAGCGAAGATTTTTTTAATGGTTTATGAGTAGAGCCTAGCTTTCGCCGCATCGGTGCAAAGATAGTTGGACGAAAAATCTCGCTAGTTGAGAGGACACGCTCTGGATAGAGGTAGTTAGGGGACACGCCATTCTTTAGGTAATACTCGTACCGACGGCGACCCCATTTTGGTCGCAGCTTCACCAAACTGGTAGAGGTAGAACTCAGTGGTTATTCAACAACTATGTGGAAGGAAAGTGTCCAAGTTAAATAACTCACTTGGAAGCAAAAGATTCACTGACTATGGGAGTAGCATTAAGATTTAGATTATCCAAAGTTGGATCATTGATATCATCGTCAGAAGAGGGAATTTTTGGAGGATCGTTCCATGATTCACTTCCCGCATTAATTCCTTCCCTATATTCTTCGTCAGCGAGATCAATGAGGTCTGCATTCCGGCGATGGAAGTACTTCGCCATGCCAGGGTGCATGCGGAGAATGGCTGAGCCCGGTATCCAATTGCAGTGCCAATAAGACTGATCGCGAAACTTTACAAAGTGCGCATATTGCTCGACCCTATCTCCCCATGACTGATGCCCTAGGATTTCTAACAAGAATCGGAGATAATTATAATAGGCAAAAGGATAAAAAAAACTCTAATAAGATGGCAAGAGAGCGATACCCACCAGGAAATGGAGCCGTCCTCCGCACTTTCAGAATTTGTTCGACTTCGACCTGCAAGCGCAAGGGTGATTAAAACAGCAACTAGAAATCGATGGGGCTATAGATTATGCATACCCATGTTTCATACTCCTCACTGATGATTCCCTCTGCCATATTCCCACGACTGGATGACTGCACTCCAGGATGTTCAGAGGGCTCCGTCAAAAGAGCCTCCAGTTCCGTTTCAGTAGCAAAGGATCCAGAATTGTGAGCCGCTCGTCGCGATCTCCGCGATGCACGTCTATACACGACATCAGAAGCTGCAGATAGTTCGCTAGTGCTGGCGATGCTATTCTCGTCCAAAGAAATCAGAGGCATATCCTCCCGAGGAGAGGCTGCTTCAGTAGAAGTCAGTTCTGCAGTGTGTGCTTGATTTTCCTGATCTTCCATAACATTACTAAAAAGGACGCAAGAATGGAAGAACCCAAGAAATCAGAAAGTAGCAATAGGTTCCTTCCCTTATGCTGTTCGAAAGTTCAAATTGTAAAAAAGTTGCAAAAAAGCAAGTTCAGACTAAACCACTGAACCACAAACGAAAGTGTAACAAGAAAGATGAAGAAGGAGCATGCGTTAGCATAGTCACACAATTGAGACTGGAGGTGACAGACGGAATTTTTCATATCGAACGCAGACCAACTAACATTTTCTCACATTGCGTGCAGCACTAGATCAAACTATAGATCTATATTTTAGGAACATTATAGTGAAAATAAAACAAAAACGAGGACTCACCGGTTTGAAACAGAAATCGAAGATGTGTTGAATTTTGATGATATTTAAAACAAGCATGTTTAATAAAAGAATAAAAGAGATCATTTCAATCAAAAAACCCCAATTTTCGCAAAAAAACGCACATTTATACAAAGAAAAACCACACCACTGGCTACAGAATATTAGTAATTTAACCGAAATTAGGAATACGAACAAGGCATTAATCGATCAGTGTACAGAGAAGAAGGCCGCGCACTACCATAGCCCCGGAGACTTTGCACTGGGTAATAGAGAACAGTAAGCGAAACCGTATGTGTGTACTCCAAAAAAGACATTGACTACGCCTATGCGTGGCCTAAAAGACGATCAACGAGCACTTGGGCCGGACAAATCCTAAAGTACCCGCCAAACATCAGATGATCACATAAACAAAGCATTACAATTATAACAATAAGGGTTTTATCTAATATGGTAATCTGATTTCCAACATGCATTGATCTTAACTTAATGCCCTCCTCTACCTAGCGGAAAGACACCAGACCATGCAAATTCCCTTTCTAAACCACTAACAAGCTAAAAAATCTCTTTTACCAAGATAAAAGACCAGAGATCACAGAATTCGGCGTAACCGTTGGATAGATTTCATTTTGGCATTAATGCGGTAATGTGCCCCCAAATTGGGCCCGAAAAGCCATAAACGAAAGCCACGTAAAACCAACCACAAACTGGCAATCAAAATGATGATACAGTAATAACTCGATTAGTTAAAACAATAATTATTGGCCTTAAAAACCTCCTTCAATTAGATTGTTCGGGCAGCTTTAATACTCGAAGATAATTATTAAAAAATGCTTTTAATGGTAAAAAGCTATACGAATGCAAATCGATATGAAAGAGCATGCTATTACGTAATAGATGGTTTATGTCCATTTAAATGTCTTAGGGAAGCATCTGTATCGTTCCGAGGCTTACCATAGTGTGGAAGAAGGCGAAAGTGAGGATGAATACATGTATTCCGAAGACGACAGAACAACTGAGGCCTGAGTGTGGCCCGAAAGCCAGCTCACGTGTACAGGGGGTAGATAAAATCAAAGGTGACCGCCAAACTTCATGTAATCACATAAATAAAGTATTACACTGCCCCCCTCTTCTTTTGAACGACGTCCTCGACGCTCCCCTTTGGTACATCTCCCACGCTAGCCATCACAACTTATTCGGTACTATAGGAAAGCACCTACGAGACATCCGCGCCAGTCGACAGATAGCATGAGACTGAGGAGCCGCATCTGGTCTCCTCGACAGCTTTAACTGGATCTGGAGTTACTTTCGGTCTGCTCCCGGGAAAAGACGGTGGAACTCTGGCCTAAAGCATACATGTTACAGGGAAAACGGGATGAGTCACTGGCCCGTATGCAAGGAAAACCGTTGTGTCATTTCCGACACCTATACACGGATTTTGTAGGATAACTTCTGACACGAAACTTGTCCAAATGGTTCGCGGCAGTGTCGCTTCAGTTGTTAATAGCTTGTCTGTGGAACAGGGTAATAAGATGAAACCAAA